ACGGGAGTTAAGAGAGAAAGGAAAACAAATCACTTATCTCACACAGAAACAAGCGCTTCCTTTCCAGAACTGAAAAGGTTTGGGATATTTTGAACTGGTACAGACCAAACCAGTAGGAACTTCATTCTTCCACGCGCTAATTCACGGTCAATTTGCTCACACCCTCCTCCCAGACCCAGCGCTGACCTCGGCGCCATCCCGTGCCCCCACGCCGAGGAACAGCCTCCTCGGACCTGGAACTCCAGGAGCCAACACGGAGCCCCGGGGCCGCCGCCAGCACGGCCCAGCCCGTGCCCTCCCCGGGGCTCCGAGACAGCGCCGTCCCCCCGCGGCCCCGCCGTACCTGCAGGACGCGGTGGCAGAAGGCGCGCACGGAGCGAAGCGAGGCCAGGTCCAGCTCCCGGACCACCAGCTCGCCCTCGCCCTCTGCCCGCTCGCCCACCTCGGCCCGGATCTCCCGGGCCGCCCGCTCGGCCCGCGCCCTGTCGCGGCAGCCCATGATGACGCGGGCCCGCATCCGCAGCAGCTCGGCCGCCGCGGCCCGGCCCAGCCCGCTGTTGGCGCCGGTGATGATGACGGTCTTGCCCCGCATGGAGCCCGCGGTGAGGGCGCGGGCCGTGCCCCGCAGCCAGCGCCAGGCGGCCGCCAGGAGCCCCGCGCCCAGCGCCAGCGCCGGCAGCGCCGCGGCCATGCCGGGCGGGAGGGCACTGCCCGGGCGGCGCGGCGCCTGCTGGGGTTTGTGGTCCGGGAGGACTGAGGGAGCCTGCGCTGTGCCCCTCGGTGGCGTAATGTAGCCGCAGCGAGTTTGCTGGTCAAAGGGAGATGCGGGGAGTGGCTGGTACGCCTGAACGAAAGGAGTGCTGCCGTTCAGAGGCACCTTGATAGGCTGGCGAGTTGCGCGGAGAGAAACCTAATGAGGTTCAGCAAGGGCAAATGTAGGGTTCTACACCTGGGGAGGAATAATCCCAGCACAGGCTGGGAGCTGACCTACTAGATAGCAGTTCTGCAGAGAAGGACCTGGAAGTCTTGGTGGGTGACAATTTGACCACGAGCCGGCAGTGTGCCCTGGGGGCCAGAGGGCCAGTGGTATCTTGTGGTGTATCGGGAAGAGTGTGGCCAGCAGGTTGAGGCTGTTTGGGGAAACGAGTAACAACTCGAGAAGAAAACCAGGAGCCTTTCATCAGCTTTCTTGTGACTTGTCTGGACGTGATAACCATCTGCAATAGTAACCTCCCCTGAGCTGTCACATGTGGGTGCTACATGCAGTGTTGTCACATTGCTGCAGTCTAGTCTAAGGTTTCATGACTTCAGCTCATGTTACAGCTGCAGAAACATCAGATTTTTCTGGGAGTATCCTTATGTCTTTTCTGGCTGCCTGTCACACTTCTCAGGCACCTTAAGGGCTGTATAGGCATGACATCTAAACACTCTGAATTTGCGGAGACTTCTATCTTTGTTTTCACCACAGAAAACTGTCTATTGGTTCTCAGCTCTTCATTGTGAGCATCATGGTTACACTAAAGGGTATTTTAGCCAGGCCACACCATCACATCTGCATGTGATGCAGATGGATTTTGGCATCCTTAACATGGTGTAAGAGCCATCTTGAGGTGTTCTTTGATATGCTCTTCTCACAGTAAATTGTATACTAGGTAGTGTTGGAGCCACCCCCACCTCTGCAGTCAAGGACCAGGAGAAAGGAACAATGGTCCCCAATCAAAATAGGAGAACCAGGAAACGCCCTGTTAGAGGAAGAGATTCGTTCTGTAAGACATCTGCCTGGTGGGAGGTGAAGAATCTGCTATTCATCATCTGGCAGTGGAGACTCTGGCAGTCACCTCTGACATACCTACTACTTCAGAACATGGTGAATGTGTTGGAGAGGTCACTGCCTTGAGGACCCTGCCTGGGTTTGTCGGTCATCAGTCCAGCCTTCAGTGCAAGCAGCATTGTGCTCAGGAGCTCATGGGTGACAGTGATCAGAAGCTGCTCATCAGCAGGGATGATGACATTCAGATGTTGTTCCCAGATACTCCTGAGCAGGACAACTAGAAATTATTATTTATTCTAAGACATTGATTTTCTTCACCAATTTCTCTACCCATCTATTGCACTTGAGGTTGTGTTTAGCAATACTGCAGGCCAATGAAAGTTACAGGATCTGGCAGATGATCCTCTTCAGGGTGTAGAAGCCCTCTGAATCCCAAGTCCTTAGAACAGATCATGATCCAAAACACATGTTGGAACACATGTGATGATGATCATTTCTGAATTTTCATCTGAAATATTTTGTTTCCTCTAGATGATTGTTTAACTATGCATGACATGACATGCTAGCCTGGAAACTGCAAGGGTGTCTTAGAGGTGTGAAGGAACTGGGGAACATGGATTTATTATGTCTTTATTAGTAGCTGGTGGAGGATATGTTCTTCTGTAAAAAAAAAATAAAAAAAATACAAAGTCACCTTCAGAATCTCATTTCTAATATTTTTGTCCATGGGGATTGGTAGCAGTAGGAGACATGCCCATTTGTCTTACCTGGACTCTTCACTGTGATGTGGTGCAGGAACCTGGAAGCTAAGGGAACAAAAACTGGCTTTGCCTGATAAAGTTCTTTTTCCACACAGAATTCATCTGTGTTATCATTAATCCTCTTCCAGGTTTTGCCTGGGATGACAGTTTCTTTTTCATAAGTCTGTCTCACAGTGTTGCAAACTGGATGATATACAGGACAGTCCTCTCTGTTCCCCTCTTTCTGTTGTTTTAACTGTGAATGGCTCAGGGTTATGAGGTGCCAGGGCATAAACTCACGGTATTCTCATGAGCGTGAGAAGCTAGACATTTTTTGTTGAGTTTTCTTGTTGTTGTTTGGTTGTTTGTTTTGCTTTGTGGACTGGAATGTTATTAAGAGACAATTCTCTTCTATGTCTACAAAAATAGAAAACACTTTCCCTCAGCTCCCATCCCATTTCAGAGAATTTCCTTGAAAAAGATTATTTCGGTCCACTAGCCAAGCTGTGCCTTGGAGCAGAAGAAAATAATTTTAACAGGCAGAGACTGCTTGGCAAGCCTGAGTCTCCCCAAACATCCAGATTAGTCTGGAAGGCACTTGTATGAACAAATGAGGCTCCACTCACCCACCATGCTGCCAGCTGGATATGCAGAGAAGCAGCCATCGAGCCTGGGACAGCTGCCTGTCAATTAAAAAGCAGCGTATAATCTGAACAAATATCTAAGGATATTTTGCTCAACTAACTTAAAGGAAGCAATTGTGGACCTTAGGATCAACTTCTGAACTTTAATGTCAATTTAAATTCTATGACTAAGAACGTAAATTCTACTGTGTACATTTAATATGTGAAGTTTTTTCATGTGTGCCTTAGTGCTGTCAGGATTGACACTGCAGGATGGAGTCCTCTAGTACTGCATGTACAGACCAAGAACTGGAAGCTCCTATGTCCTGGCCAGTAGGTTTCATTCTTGCTGTAGGTGCATGATTGATTGGAAATAAAGATAAACATAACAGACCAAATAATTCAGCTTCCAGTTTATTCACTGATTTACATGCTTACCCTGTCAGGCATGAGACTCACCTCTGGACTCCTACAGGGATCAAGGATCCCATTAGACTTTTTCAGTATCAAGACTTAGTTGTTCTGTTCAATGAGAGTCAAGTGCCAGCTTTATGTTTCCCACACCCAACCCCTGCTGGTCTAACAATGCATGGATGAAGAATGGCTAATCCATGTTCTGCTTCAACAAGGCAGGACCAGTCTTCCTGAAATTTGCAGCCATGCTTGTGTGGTAAAGGTACACACACAATTTATATTCCATAGCTAAGGAATATTTTTGAATTCCTTGCAGATTCTGAGCTCTCACATAAAAACATCTGCTAATAACATTTTTCATAATATCCATTTGGCAAGGTAATTCTATCCCATCCTGGAAGACAATGACCAGGCCTCAGTTATTCATGTCTTCCTCACCTCCTGGCTGGGCTCGGAAATGTGATACATTTTGGGCACAAAGCCTTTAGCATTTATGGAGTTCCAAGTACACCAGAAATCTGCAGTGCATCCCATCAACAACACATATTAGTGTGAATACATGAAAACCTTTCCAATGGTTTCTATTCGTGTTTCATGCAGGATCAAGGCTTTTGCCTTTGCTTCCAAAGAACTTTGTGGCTTGGACCCAGAACATTAAAATGATTGCCTATGTTCCTGGGAGGGAAAACATAATTAATGCAATGAAGCTTTCTGCAATAACAAGACAGTTCATCCAGACAGAGGAACCAAACTTTCTCAGAAGCTAACCTGAGATTCTGGACCAAATTCCCTGAAGAACCACAGATCATCACAAGCCTGATTCACCATTTCTACTCCCACTGCAGAGCACATTCTTTTGGTTTTGTCTCTTCTGGTATAAATATACAGCAACAAAAAAAAAAATAAAAATAGAACAGTTGTTCCACTAGGGAGAGAAAGAGAACAAACACCACCTGACAGATGTTAGTGGTGTCATTTGGATATCAGTTATATAGATAACATTGATACACAGGAACTGAGCATAAAAGAGGTAGAATAGATCTATGGAGTAAATTTGAAGTCATGTAGCAACAGGCACCTGTCCCCTGGAAACCCATTTGAGGTTGCTAAACTGAGTTCACTCAGATAACGAAACAGCTGTAAATCCTAAGGAAATCTAGCTAAAAAAGCAAATAGTTCCATCAACAGTATTATTTCTGGGTAGGTTCTCTGCTGTTACGACGTGTGCTCTAAAGCTTCAGCCTTTGTCCCAGTCAAGATACTCACAGTATCTCAGATTTCTACCCAGCTCTGTGAAATCTGCTGGGACTAAGTGAGACCTCTAGCAGCTCTCTCTCAAAGTTGGCTGAAAGTGGTCCCTTCTGGTTCGAAACATCAGGAGGATGCTGATTACACAAACTCTACCTAGGAACCCCTAAACCTCTAAAACCCCTGCATAGAAAAATGACAATGTTCTGTAAAGCCAGCTTTATTAAGGTAAGAAAATCATATAGAAAAATGTGTAAACACAAGATCAAGTAAGCTAACATTTTACTGGAAGCTGAAACCTTGTGGTGACAGACCTACTGAACACATATTTAACAAGCAAACCACAACAGGTAAACAGTTATATGTAAACTGTGTTTTTGTGAACTTCAGAAATGACTGTCAAGAACTAGCATTGCAGCATGAGTTTTCTTATAAATAACCCGTCAACAGTTTTTTAGAGAAAATATAACTGTTCTGTCTCTCAAAATATGTCTCAAGCTATAAAAACAGTACAAATCTCTTCCTAATATCAAAACCACAGTGTTAGATCTAGACAGGTAAAAAATCTAAACTGCTTAAGAATTATATTAAAATAACTCCATTAAAAACTTACCTATATTAAAAATATTTCTTTTAAAGGCTGTTCTAGCCAGAAGTTGAATTTTTAAACATAGTGCTTACAATACACATATGTAGGGGTTTTCAGACATAACTATTGGTTTATTAAGAGGCTGGCTGAGTTAAGAACTTTATCATTAATGGTGTCATCTAGTCATGAAGATTTGTTGTACTTCTGAGCAACGCCATAGGGAACGTGTGCAGCTATGGTGCCTAATTTCTGTGCTCCTTCAATGTGGAACATCTGGTCATCAAAGAAAATGTGAGGGCGGATTTTCACCAGGATTGGTCCTTTAGGAGCTCCTGCTAGGAAAAGTGCCTCATCAATCTCCAGGCCCCAGCTACGGAGAGTCTTCAGCACTCTGGCTCCAGAGCTCGCCGCACTTCTGGCTGTGACCAGGTAGGTCCTTATAGGACAATTTAATCGTTCATTTTTTGCATAGAACTTCTTCTGAATTTTCCCCAGGTCTTCCAGAAAACCCTTCAAAGGGCCCTGAGTATAAAATACCAGAAGCATACTTAGTATTTGTCCACAGTTCCCCAAAACATTCTTTTGCTTTCCTCCAGACTGCCAGTTACACACAGAATTCCTTTCCCTAATGCTATGCTACTCTGCAAATTCTCTGTGTAACATATCCAAATGGGTCTGCACCCTCACTAGGAATTCACACACTGGAAAAAAGTTAGAACCACAATCCTACATGGTATGATCAGTGGGAAAATAATTCTCACTAAGGCGATCTCTTACAATATAAGCTTATTACTATAGTCTTTAATGTTCTTTTAAAAATACTGAACTCTTTTTACTAAGAACCATGAGCTGCAATTCTTTCTCCTGCACAAAAACCGGATTAATGACCATACTACACTCCAATTAAAAGAAATAAATGACAGTTTGGTTCTTCAAATTGCAATATATTGTACCATTCGGTATTTTCATAAATCAAGCTTTTATTATGAATTTGTACTATTTTTAACAAAAGCAGAATTCATCCGTCAGTTTAAGCTGATATTAAAATATTTGTGTTTTTTAGACAAATGGCATAGTTCTGCTTGGGAATAAGTAACCTGTTTCAATAACCAGAGTATCTCAGTGTTAGAAATTAACATTACCTACACAGTCTGATTAAAAAAATAATCCAGGAAATCAGTACTAGTATTTCTTTTTCTAATAATACCATTAAAATAGAATTGTAAGTCACTGTCTTATATATGCAGTTCTCTCAGAGAAGTGAGAGGTCTGGTGAAAGGAGTGCAATGGCGGCCTTTTTTACGTCAAACATGCATTTTAAAGACTATCCTTGAAAAGGAAATAAAGCTTCCACAAAGAACACATACGCACTGGGGAAAGTGGAGAAACACAGCAGCAATGAAAGTCATCAGATCTTTTGAAAACTTACTGATTCAAGAAAATACAAACCTGTGCAAGAGGCTTATTTTCATTCAGCTGTTCATGTTCAAAAAATCTATCTAATCCTTGCTCTTTGACAATCTGTTCTGATTCATCAGAAAAGATAACAGCATCCCCATCAAATGCCACCCTCAGCTGTGTATCCGAGTAAGAAACATCTTTGTTGGCAGTGAACATTGTAGCTGATGCAATGCCTGAAAATGGATCAGAGAACCTCAGTTAGTCCTGCTAAGTCATTCATTAAACCACCAGCAGTTTGGTTCCAACAACTTATTTGTGGTGACCTTTATATGTGGTGAGTGGAAATGATCATGAAAGCTAATTAGTAATGGCTGTTCTGTAACACAAATGCATGGAAGCTGTCCCACTGACAAAACTTCTTGGACATTCTTCCTTCCATTTTCACATGGAAGAATGTACAAGAACAGTCTCCAAGGTGTACTGCAAATGAGACAAAGCAGGCAATTCCAAGGAAACCACTCAATCAAACTATTTGCTATTTTTAACTTCTTATGAAACACAGAGGTTGCTTTTTTAAGTCGTTATCGAAAAAGATGAGGCTATTCAAATGGAAGTTGAATAGAGGTGGAGATCTCTTTCTTGTTGAGTAGGAGAAGACAGAAAGGTGTAGGGTGATTTGGCTGTCATATTAGTAGGCTGAAAGGTCAGAGAGGAACAGTATCATGTGATTTTATTTGATTAAGTAAAAATAAGTGGTAAACTTGCACTGTACAAAGTGGTGCCTTTCTGCATTTGATGAAGCAGCACTACTTTCTGTGAAAGACACACAGCATATTAATTTTTGAACAAGCTAAACAGAGAGATAAGGAAAGTCAATTCAAACCTGCTTCTATAGCTTCTTGCACTTTTTCAGAGTCTGCTGAGAGGTACAGGTTTGTAAGGTATGCAGTCAGGTAACCAATAGGGCTTTGTCCTCCCGTCATACAGAAACGTTCAATTGTTAAGCCTAAAGTAAGAACAGCACAAGGTGTGACTCTGCCTTGACACTGCAAACCTGTAAAAGGTACACTAGCCTAGCTGACAGTAAACTTAAAAAAAAAAATCATAATTTCAATGAGTTACACAACTTAAACTGACTAAAATGTTTGATCAGTCCATCCTCATTCATAATTTAGGGAAAAAAAATCCCTCTAAGATGGCAGAGTAACTGCTGTGAAGGTGTATGTCTAGAGAGCATAGATAACAAACATAAAAAAGTTTAAAGACTTCTCAGAAGTTAAGATTCACACCTGACATGTTATATCTAGAGCATTGGACCAAACTGTTTAATATATCTCACTTGTGCTGATACCCAAAAATAAAGATCAAAGCAGCTGTTTTTCCCAAGGTCAGAACAGGAAGAATAAAATTAATTCATCTTATTATGTAACAGCTGTCAATTCTACCCGTTAGTATTTATTTTATTCACCATAGTGATTGATGCTGTTTATGAGCCTCACTCCCACTTGGGCATGGTTATTAGTCATCAGGACGATATCAAATCGTTCTTCATCATCAGGGTATAGTTCAAGAAGCCGGGCATTGACATGCTCCAGAGCCTGAAGGATAAAAATGTGGAAGTCAACAGACAAGTGGAATGTGCCTCCTTTTGTTAATCACTGTAGTTCTAGTGACAGAATTGTCTTGAAGGAGAATGTGAAATACCTGACAGCTTAACTTGCTGAACTTGTTTTATTCCTTTCTGCTTTGTTGCTCCCAGTAACCATTTGACTGATTCATTTAAAAGGAGGAAATAAGTTTATTTTGTTGAGTTACAGAATTTAACTTTCTTGTGGAAATCCTTTTTCTTAGGAGATCATAATCATCCAGAGTAAGTCAATGCACTGTTGATCATTATCACAATCACTATTAATTTTTTTTCTTGTCCACTTGAAAATTGTTCTTGTGAAATCAAGGAGAAAGTATAAAGGAAAGTGTGCAGCTGCTTGTTTTGCATGCACAAATGTGAATTTGGGTCACATACTTATGCAAAGATTTACTGACACAGTTCAGGTGGTCAGGTGTCAAAGATCGTCCTTAAGTAATTAGTACAAAATCATATCCTGTCATACATGATTAGCTTGACAATTTCTAATTGCAGTACTGAATGAGACAGATTTTGATTTGAGATCCCTTTAAAGATAATGGGCCAATATGTTATATCCACAGTCTCGCATTTTTATTTCCTTGACCTTTCATCTGCTCATCTCTGTCTGTATCCGTCTGTTCTCTCTTATATAGAACCTCATCCCTTTGGAGTAAGACCTCCTTTTTGCATTCCTTTAATGGAATGGAATTCTTTGGGATTACAGCAATGAAATCAAAAATGAATTATCAAATGAATACAAAGATGGATTGATTTTCGATAAGGTGCTTTAGAAAGTCAGTCCAGTTGTTAAGAACTAAACTACAAATTTAATAATTAAATTCTGGGAATCTCACTTAAAAGCATGGCTGTGTGATGTGGGACTGTGCTTAGGAAATTTCTAAGTGAGAGCCTGGGATAGGGCCTAGGAAAAAATCTTAGTATGTGGTCATAACCTACTTCTACTCCTAATAATCTACTACACTGGCAATTTCTTAAATTATTAGGAAGTAAGGGTGAGCAGAGGAGGGGATACCATTTTTTTGTCCATTGCCTGTATACTTTTTACCCCAAGGAGACCCTGGCCTGTGATTACAAATCTTAAGTGCTACAAGCATGAGATGTAATACTTTTAAGTTAGTATTATTCTCTTTTGCTTCTTTGTCTCCAAGTGGAAAAGATGACTCAACAAACCCACAGTTCTCCAGCCTAATGATTTCTGTGACTAAGCAATATAAAGAATTCAAACACAAATATCATACTGGAAGGGAATAGAGGTCAAGGTGCATTTAGCTGGGCATAGCAACAGTTCTGATTTTCAAAGTATGAGGAGTTAAACAGTCAAATCTTGCTTTTACTTGAAGTGAATTTGACACTGAATTCTAACAAATCTTAAAAACTGACTCTGCTAGTAGGGCTGCTACATATAGGAAAAGAAGCAGTAAATTCCCTCGTCAGCCTATCCTCACTGGTGTACAAAGTGAACTATGACCTCATTTTTATGTTAAAAGCACCCTTAAAGTGCTTCTGCTATCAATACTACTAACAGCTATGCTACATTTACAGCATATGGGTATTGACACAAGTAATTTTTCCACTGTGTACGTTCAAAATATGATTAATTAAGAAAATGTTTTAAAGTCCTGAGACTAAAACTGAATTACTCCAAATCTACTTTTAAAACTTGAGGTGTTCTACCACAACTCTGATGTCAGCAAGTATGATTGCTAATTATGATTTCATTAATTTTCTAAAATCACTGTGGGAGAGCTTATCACACAATTCTCAGTGGACATAAAATTAACTCTGTACACAGCATTTTTTCAAGTCAGTTGCGCTAAAATCTATGTTCTTCAAAACCATACATAAATTTTCAGGTCTTTTCATTTTTTTGTAATTTCTCTTGCTTTCCATGATGGAGGCTGTTTTCCTTGGCCATTTCTCTTTTATTGTGCAGTGAAAGTAAAATATTCCATTTCAGTTCTGCTTAAACCCTGACTCTCAACTAGAGAGTGTATTTTTTTCACTGGTCCTCAAGAACAATTTCCAGGGTGACAACAAAAGCAAGGAAAAATTAAAGCAGAACAAAAGGAATTAATTTCTTAATAATTAGATTAATATAGAATCAACACTGGTTTGGGTTATTTGTGGTTTTTTTGGGGTGGAGGATATTGGGTTTTGTCTTTTTGGGTTTGTTAGGTGGGAGGAGGTTGTAAAAAACTTAATTAGGGGACTATCTTGACTGAAAAAGGTCTTAAAAGGAAAGGTACTTTGTGTGCCCCATGTCCAGCAGAAAGCGCAGGTTGCTCCTTACCCGCATCTGGGATGTGATGCTGTGAGCCGGGATACAAACCGTGATGCTGAGGGTGCAAGTCTGGTCCCGGTGACGGGAGCAGTACGTGATCTGCCGCAGGCGTGCGGCATTAGTGCCGGCGGGAGGGGAGGGGATGTGAGGAGGAAATGAAGGGAGAGGGAAGAGGAGAGGGAAGAGAAGCGGTGGCCGGAGGACCGGGGCGCGGAGAGATGCTGAGATGCTGCCGGGCTCCCCCGCCGCACGGAGCTCACCGCTTGGAGAACAAGTCCCGAAAACGTCTCCCCGGGTCAGGATTATCTCCGCCCTAGGACGCCTCGGGCTCCTCCTCTTCCCGAAATTTGGCCTTGCAGCATCCTCCTCGCCCCGCTGCACTCCACACCCTCCCTTACCCTGCCGGACCAGCCCGCCCCGGCTCACCCCCCCTGGCTACCTTGACGAAGTAAAACGCCGGTCCAGGCTTGAGGGTGACGTTCTCATTGTTTTGCTGGTACTCCACGTACTTCTCCACCCCCTGTTCTTGGTAGATCCGCCGCTCCTCCACCAGGTCGAAGAGGGCTCGGGAGGAGACGGCCACGGTGATGGCGTTCTGGGGCTTGGGCTGCCAAGCGACCTCAGGGTAGCGCTGGCCCGCAGCCCCCGGATCCCCAGCTTTCCCCCGTACCCCAGCTACCCCTCGGACCTCTAGCTTCCCCTCGGACCACCAGCCTTCCCCCGAGCCCCCAACCTTACCCCGGACCCTCAACCTCCCCCCGAGTCCCCAACCTTACCCCGCATCCCCAGCACCCCCCCCTTCCGACTCCTTCATCCCCAGCCCTGGCCTCCGGACCCCCGGCCCGCCCCCACGCACCGGCCGGGGTTTCTTGGTAACCAGGTTGTCGTAGAACGCCTTGGCCGCCGCCCAGTCCTGCTCGGCCTCCTGCAGCCGGGCCTCCGCCGCCTCGCTGGGCTGCGGCGCCTCCGGGCCGGAGCCGCTCATGGTGCCTGGCGCGGCCGGGCTCGGGGCGGGCGGCGGCTGCGGCCGGAGCGGGGACCGGGAAGCGGTGGCAGCAGCGGCAGCGGCCGCCCCTGCCCCGCCCCGCCCGGGCAGGGGGAAGGCACCGGCACTGCCTTTCCCTTTGGCTGTGCCGCGCCCGGGCTCGCCCGGCCCTCCCGCGTCACGGCCCGGCCGGGCCCGCGGCGATCCGTCCCTCCCCCGGAGCGGAGCAGCACCGGCCCCGTGGGGCAGCGAGGCCGCGGCTTCCCCGCATCCTGCACCCGCCCGCCCGTAGCGTTTCTCCTCGAGGCGTGCGGTGCCCGCGGCGTCCCCGCCCAACCCGAGCCGTTCCCTTCCACAGTATCCGGAGCTACTTGATGTCAGGCAACAGCCTCCAGCACCGAGTTTATCTACAGCGTTAGAGATTTATTATTTAACTGCAGCGGCCTAATTGATTTAACATTAACTGCAACAGATTCCCAGGAGATTGCTTATATAATGTGTTTTAGCAATCAAAATGGGCGTGATGTCCGTGACCTGGGGTCCTCTGTTCGAGGCAGCAACATGCGAAATACCTTCAAGAGAAAGCAATTTGGGCAGTGGCATGGAGAGTGTGTGCAGCACTCGCAAGGAGCTATTCTGGCATGAGGTTGGAGTGGTCTTAAAATCCAGAGTCCCACACACAGCTATGGGCAGCATTTAATACACATCTAATACAGCTGTCTGAAACGGTCCTGTCTGCCTCTGCAGATCACCACGTGAACCACAGCAAAGATCCCCAAACTGATAAGCTTGCAGGAGAGAGTGAGGAAGAAATCGGATTTGCTCCTGAGCCAGTAGAGGATCTGGCACAGCAGACCCACAGACTTTGCAACTGGTGACTCAGTGGGTATCTGTCATACCTCATGTGATCACATCCAAAGGGCTCTTAACATTTTGCATGGACACTCTAAATATTGATTTTGACCCTGCTCACTACCTAATCTTTATCAGATTTTCAGATCTTTCTGCCTTCATCCAGTTTCAAAAAAAACCAAAAAAAACCCCAAAAAACACCAAAAACACCGGGATTATTTTTGTAACTTTTGTCCTTTTTTTTAATGTGGTTTCCTATTGAAAGGAGGCTTATGTAATTATACCATCTGTCTGTCTTTCCTCAGTGATGTTCAGTTGCAAACAAATTTCAAAGAAGGATAAAGATCTCAAAGAGATTTAAATTCTTAAAACCTTTAATGAAAATCAACAACTTGCAATTTGTTGCCCTGCTGGGGAAGGGACTTAATTTGCTTGTTCCTCTGCTGTGCAGTAGCAAATGAATACTCCTTGACTGATCTGCCAACTCCAAATCTGCCACATTGCCTGTTGCCCAGATCACCAGGGAGGGACCTGGAAGCAGGGAAGTGGGGAAAATGAGGAGGTTAGAGTAAATGGGAAATGGGAGTTGACCATAGTGGGGAGGGGACCTGGAAATATGAGGGAAAAGGGGAGGTACTGACGGTAGTGAATTAGGAAAACAAATGTGAAAAGACAAGATAGGATCATTGTAGAGGCTGGTGTCATGGGAAGCTGTAAAAGATATAACATAAATCTGAACAAACCCAATTTTAGTAACTCTGCTACTGATGGATGTGCTTGTTTTCCTTGAATTTTGATCCTGAATTGATCCTATTTTCCTGTGGTGTCTAAGCTCAGAGCTGTAGTGTGTCAAATACTACTGAAAACACCTGCTCCCATCCACACAGTAAGGTCAGGCTGAGCCTGGAAAAAGGGTTCAAGCCACAGAACAGCAACTCCTGGTCACAGTCACCATCACTGTCCTGCTCAGAGACTTCAGCACCACTCTTAAGAAGGTGATCTCTAAGAAGAGGCTATTCTTGGTTAAATTGGTGTGTCCACTGCCCGTGGAGAAAAGGGGAAAAGAACAGGAGGAATCAGGAACCAGTTCTTTAGTGATTACAGAGCTGAACTGTCATCCTTGCATGAACATTATTGCCATCTTTGCATGGCAGTACATTTCCCAGAGCCATGCCCGAGTTGGCTGCTTGTCGTGCTGTGTTCCCCACCACCCTGCATCTTCTCAGGAGCAAAATCAGAGCTCCCCAGGCATGTTCTTGGTTTTTATTCCCCCACACACACCCTGTCCTTCCTGTCCAACCCAAGAAAAGAATCATCACTCATGAAGACTCCTTCTAACCTACACCTGAAAACTTAAAAGATGGTAATGTACAGGGCCCAAGCAGTGCTGTTGATGTGCTGCTGCTGAAAGCAATTCTATGGTAACAGAAACATTTTGCTTGCCAGACCCAGATGGTATCTCTACACAACACTCAGCTGTGTGAACATATGCGCTGAGCTGCCATGTCTCTGTTCTGTGCTTGGCTGCCTGCTGCTGACATACCCTCCATTTCCTCTTTTGCTGGAGAATGTGAGCTGAGAGTCTGACATGAAAGCTTTCCAGATTCATCACCTTATAAATGAAATCTTGACTTCTCAAATGCAGAATGTAGCAGCCTTATCTACATCTTAAACATGTAGTAATGCCCACGGGGTTCCAGGAAAGAGCTATATCTTGCTTTCACTGAACCTCTTGGGGAGTCTGAGAAATAGGAATGGATCCAAAATTGAATGACTTTGTGGTTTTTGAGCTAAGCTAGAAAGGAAAGGATTTTTCTGCTATCATGCATTAATTTGCAGGGCACTGACATAAAAGAAAAAAAGTGTGTTTCTCTCTTTGTATGTATGTTTTTATAGTAAGCCATGCAAATTCTCAGAAGTCTGTTATAAGAAAGTTCCCCTGCCTGAGCTCCTGATATTTTTCCTGTTTTAAGAACAGCCATTCAGAGAGATTGATATGTTCCTGTTCAAGAAGGAACTCAAAGTGCATTACTAATAATGAAAACATTATGTTTTTTTCTTCTTTTGATAACTACTTCTATCTGAAAAGATGTGAAGTATTTCCAAGTATTTAAAATAATAGAACAGAAGTAAGAAAAATTTTTTTAATGGAAGGATTTTATCTCCCTTTAGATGTATAGATCCCAGTATGTATTGTGTTGTTATATCAAAACTTGTAGACTCCGGAGCCTAACTCTCCCAGAGTCATGTCAGGGACACTTCAGAGTGCAATTGCATGGACTTTTACTTCATGTATACGTTGTGATTTTTCATGCTGAGAGCCCAAGACCCATAGCATAAGTATGGTGTTCCCATAAGGAAGGAACCTCAGAAGAGCTTTGATCTAGGTCAATCTGCTGTGGCAAAAAGTGTAACAGCACTCACACTATGCCTGACCTGCCAGATTAATTTGGAAAATCCTCTTGTTTGTAGGTGGTATAAGTACTTCTAATGCAATCCTAGAATTTAGGACCTGGTTCTTAAAAACAGTTAACAACTGATTTTCTACAAGTTTCCTACAAATCCTCAATGTGGATCTCAGGCAATCTATATTCTTTTGTTTGCCTGCCTTCTATTCATCCAATTTAGTCTAATACAGGCAGAAATAAAAAACAATTGGTTTGTGCCAAAGATGTGCATGGTGAAGCTGCATCATGCCTTGAAGGCACATCTATTTATGAAGAAACCTTTGCATTACGTCATAGTCACTTTCCTTTTTCATCTCATGATGCTCTCTAGTTCTCTTTTGGTCCCTCTTCAGCAGTATTTTTCATTCTCTCTTTCTTCCTCCTCTTCCCACCCTCTGTGTTTGTGCAAGGGAAACAAGAATGCAAAAAACTGTGGCGTCACATGACAATCAAGGCCAGCTGCCTTGTGTCTTCTGGCATTACTTTGCTGCTGGTCTTTAACAATATGTTCATTTGCAGCAGCCATACAAATTACTTAGAGACATAGATCTTTTGTTCTTCTAAGATGATCTGTTCTATCTCCATCATTCTGAGCATGACTCATTCCAGTGTTCAAGTGACAGGTTAGGTTACAAGGAAAGCTAAATCTAGCACAAGTAGAAAGGAACGCTACATAAGGTTCACTGACCTGTGATCTCTTTGCTCTAAACAATCCAGTTCAATCATTACAATACAAGTTTCACTTCCCCCATTACTGAAGTTTTTTATTCTTTAATCTTGTCAAGGTGAAATCAGAAGACAAGTTTTGTCTTTAGCATTTTTGAGATTTCTTCTCTCTAGAAGACAATTATTTTTTCCTAGGAAAATACAATCTGTAATAGAACTTTTAGAACTAAACTGTCTTCCTAACTATTCTGAGCTGAGCAACAAATTTTTAGCTTTCTTTACCCCAAGAAAGGCTCATCACATAATTGCAATGTTTAAAAACCAAAAAAGAAGAATTCTGAAATTCAGATAAAAATGTTGTTTTAATCTAGATACTTACTAAAAAATAGGAAAACAGTGCCTTAGCTCTAATGATAAACATGCCTGCCCCATCTAGTAGTTTGCCATAGGGAGAATTGAGAAGCATTCAGTGACTTCTTTTAGAGGAGAGCAGGAGTCCAGCTCCAAGCAATCCTGGCCATCTTATCAAGAACATGCAATATGACAAATAGGACAAGAATACAGTCTTGTTGAAAATCTGTGGTCAGAAAAGGCTCAACAAAAGGCACATATGCTACCAAAAATAATCATATTGTTTGGGTTTTTTTGGGTTAGAAAAGAATCAGTAATAAAGTCATAACTTCTGTGTTAATAAAAAAGAAAATTAATTGCAACAATATCAATTGTTGCAATTTGTTATTCAGGGTTTGACTTTGCAGCGCTGGAATCACTCTGTAGGCACTTAGACAACACAGAGAAAAAATTAAATAAATAATACTGAAAAAAAAAATATGATCTGCAGGAAGGTTTGTCCCTGTTCCAAGCTTAAACAGAAGAATATTTTCATTACGAAACAACCACACATAAGATGGAAGGTGGATAAATTATGCATACATACCTTATGGGCTTCCTATATCCTACTGAATAAAAAGTACAGTATCATGAAAAATTTTAGTTTCAGTTCTATATAATAGAAGCAGTTGTTTGAGCATTTTTCATTATGCACTAATTATCTCTTTAATAATAGAAATAACTGGAGGCTCTTGTCACGCAAACTGCTCCACACAGGGACATGTCTG